CTGCTGGGGCTCGCCAGTCTCCTTGGCCTTTTGTTGCTTGGCGAAGTTGAGCTTGACGCGCTTAAGGAAGTCCTCTCGTGAGCGTGAGTGGCGGACGTGCTCGATGCGGACGTTGATGCGCTTCTCCATGTATCGGTTGCCGACCTGCTTCTGGAGGATGACACCGACCGCCGACTTGGTGACGTTGTAGACGATACCAGTCTTGCCGTGGTAGACCTTGTAGGGCATACCCTTCTGGACCGCACCTGCGCAAATTCATAAGTCCTCCGCCTCCAATTGCTCTCGCTGGGTTTCAGGGGGGCTTCGTACCGTTGGCTACGACATCGACGATATCACCGACCTTGTACTGCTTGAGGTAGGTCGAGAGAGGGATCATACCCTTCTTCTTGAAGTCCCTCGAGAATCTAACCCATCGTTAGTCCACGTCTTTGTTGTCGTCGTCGCTATCGCACTGCGACTACATCTATTTTTCGGGATAAAACGTACGCATAGCGCGTACCCGCGCGAAGACCGGCTGCGTGACCCATTGTGTTTGTGTTGGGGGTGGTTGTGTGTGCGGCAAGCTGAGGTTCGAAAGTTCAACGATTGTATTTTTGCAAGCCTGTGTGGGAAGCGGTTGCCGCAAATGCCAAGCGTCCGTGCACATCGCTAGCCTTCCCTGCCGACCATCGACACCAATGTTGGACATGTACGTGGAAGAAGTGAGGGATGTATATTGATCAAGAATTAAATTTTGCTCTATGAATCAAAGCTTACAGGGAATTCATCGCATGTTGAATAGTTGGCGGAGTCCAGTTTGTTTTGAATGACTGATTTCCATCGTCCATGGCCAACATGGCGAGGCTTGTCAATTATTGTGCACCCTTGGAAAATCAAATCAAATCCTGTTAATACACACATGCATTGATTTCATCACCATTGACCATAACATATCATAGTCATGTCAAATTAAACATGTACAAACGTACATTGGTGAAAGTGGCACCTTGAGTGCTAACTCCGAAGCGAAAGGGAAACGTCCGTGCGCCCACTGCCCACCTTGGCGTACTTCGAAATTCACGTTCGCTCGCAACGCAACCCACGACTTCTCTCCTCCATCGACAACCACAATGGCGCCCCGCTCCTACTCCAAGACGTACAGCGTCCCCCGTCGTCCTTTCGAGTCCGCTCGTCTGTATGTGATTCCCCATGGCCACTGAGCGAGAGCGTGCTCCGCTTATGTCTGGGACACTGGTTAATTATTGGTTAGGGATACTGAGCTGAAGCTCGTCGGCGAGTATGGTCTCCGCAACAAGCGCGAGGTCTGGCGAGTCCAGTTGACTCTGTCCAAGATCCGTCGTGCCGCTCGGTGAGTTACTCAATTGCACACTCGCTGCGCAATGCGAAATTTCGAGAAGCGACAAGCGCTAACATTTTGCAGTTCGCTTCTTACTCTCGACGAGAAGGACCCCAAGCGCCTCTTCGAGGGTAACGCCCTCATTCGCCGTCTCGTCCGTGTCGGTGTCCTCGACGAGTCCCGCATGAAGCTCGATTACGTCTTGGCCCTCAAGATTGAGGACTTCTTGGAGCGCCGTCTCCAGACCTGCGTCTACAAGCTCGGTCTCGCCAAGTCTATCCACCACGCTCGTGTTCTCATCCGCCAGCGCCACATCCGGTATGTCTTTGTGGACGCCCTCTGAAAGAAAGCACGCGACTAACAAAAGCCACAGTGTCGGAAAGCAGATCGTCAACGTCCCCTCCTTCATGGTCCGCCTCGACTCCCAGAAGCACATTGACTTTGCTCTGACCTCGCCATTCGGTGGCGGCCGCCCTGGCCGTGTCAGGAGGAAGAAGGCCAAGGCCGCCGAGAAGGGTGGTGACGACGATGCCGGCGAGGAGGACGAGGAGTAAACGTTACGCCAAAAAGAATGATTCATGGATGATCGGCGTTGGGCATGACGGGATGAATCTCTCTGACAGGTTTCTCTGTCCTGGAATGCACTATATCCCTTGTGGGTCACGGCTGGTAGAAGATCTACATACAAATTCTGTAGTCTCTGCCCAAAAATCTTCAATTGCCATTGTCTGTGTCTGTTCACTTATGCTGATTGTGATGTGTATGCCGTTTGGTTCAGACTTGATCAGAGTATGCTTAGATGTCATGTTTGGGTAGTGTAGGAGTTTTTCTAGAAACAATATTTGTACCCGAGTTCCTGCGGATGATTATACCACATACAAGAACTTGAAATTCAATGCTGTCGGTTGGAGACATGCACACTTTCATGTCTTTGGTGATCTTGCAACAGGTAAATATAGTTTGAACACAAAAGCGAATGCATTGTATCCTGGGTACACATTTACACTTCTAATACGACGAATCATCAGTATACAGCCTCGTAACCGGGCTCGGTCTCCTATTCTCAGTCGCCGCCAGCCCTGCAGCCACCTTCTCCTGGCCCACCTTTGCTCTCGCCTCCTGCATGATCCAGAGCCCACTGCTGGTACCCAGTCTCGTAGCGCCAGCCTCGAGCATCTTGACAGCAGTATCGAGTTCCCTCACGCCGCCACTGGCCTTGACCTCCATCTTCCGCCTGCTCACACCCTTTGCGGCAAGATACTCTGCAGCGCCTACCATGAGCTGAACGTGAGGTAGTGTGGCGCCCGGTCCGTTAAAGCCTGTTGATGTCTTGATGAAGTCAAATGACGCGGCAGCAGCGAGGTGCGAGGCCGCAAGGATTTGGGTAATTGTCAGCTGCGAGGTTTCGAGGATGAGTTTGAGCGTTGTCTCGGGGCAGAGCGAACGAATGGTAGCTAGTTCTCTGTATATGGCGCTATAGTCTGGAATCTCTTCTTGGCCTGTAGCGGTAGAGTTGTTGCGGCTGGCACCAGCATTCTTGGCTGTGTTGGCAGCCGTGATGCTGTCAATGGCGGAATCTCTGGAGGTGCGAGTCAAAGTCTCTGGGCGGTTGTGCTTTGTGAGCAGCGAGTGGTTGAGCACAACGTCGAGTTCTGCTGCGCCGGCTGCAACAGCTGCACGTGCTTCACGGCATTTTGAGTATGTGTCTTGGGTTCCCTCGTGGAAACCGACGACGCAGGCGACGAGAACGTCCGTGCCTTTGAGATTCTTTACACAGCGCTGCACCCAGTTTAGACGGACGCATACAGACTGTTAATCACTTGTTAGTCAAACTATCTTGAATATGTTGTTGCATAGCGCGATCGCCGGATGTTATGGAAGAGACAAACGTACCTTGAACCCTTCGGTCCTTGCCTCACTACACAAGCCGTCTACAACCGAACTCGTAGCATCCAGCTTCAATACGGTGTGGTCGATCGTTTTGGCCAGTTGCTTCAACGCCTCTTCTCCGTTCCGCATCCTTGGTCCTTCGTAAACCTTGTTTGCACGCTCCCCGCTCTCCACCTCCTTCAGCACGTGCCGGATTGTCTCATCAATCTGCGCCTGCCACTCCGGATTCGTATAACGATCCGTCATGATCTCAATCGGCGATTGATTGTCGTTGTCGAGATCCGGGTTAGCGGCCAGGAATCCACGGATCAGCACTTCGGATTCTGTGAGGGGAATCGGGTGGGGGTCTGTCGCGGTTGCAGCTCCCGCTGCGTCTGAAGGTTGTGTGGCAGCAGACATGGTTGGTATCCAGGGGTAGGCCTGTTTATTGGTTTTCCCACTTTCCAAACGATGATTTGATATGATTTGATTTTCCGGATTAGCCCAGCTCGAGATACGGAGTAGCTAGCCGGCGGTGCGGGCGATGCGTATTGGGTGACGATGACGCGGGGTGGCTTTTGTCCGCGAGTCGTGGATGCGATCAAGGGGCTCGTTCACGCTAATCCAAGCACGCGAAAATGTCCCGAGTGCGAATCGATTACCGGCGGCGCAAGGTCAACGACTGTTATAAGTATTTTACAGTAGAAGCGGAGGTCGGCGTTCTGCCCGTCATGTGTCTGGGTTGGAATGGGGTCTCGACTAGGTTTCCCCACTTAAAAGTCGAATTGTGCGGCCCAGGGTGAGGTCCTTCTGTTCTAGGTATAAGGTGGCTGCTCACCACCATGAACACGAAAATGTCCATCAAATTAGTTCACAAGATGTGGCTTGCTAATAGACTTGTCCATGTTTTTCTTGTTTACTCACATTGATTTCCAAGGCTATCTTTACTTTTTTGACCTTGTGTACATGCATCAACAACCAAGGCCCAGTCCACCACTTTACTCATTCTTACCCGCGAATTTAAACGATCTAAGCCGAGCATTCTAGCACATAAGACCATAGGATGGGTGTGGGTATGCATTTGTACTTATTTAGCCCAAACATTCTTGCTATCACTTAAAAGTATACGAAGTACGAAGCTATGTTCTGTCTGTGTGGGAGTCCCAAGCTCGGTTTGAGATATCGATACTATCACGTGAGCATATCGATAACGTCACGTGGGCCTTCTCAGATTTCAGTGAAGTCCGCAGGCAATTCTATCTTACGAATATGATACTTTTAATTTTGTTTTTCTAGCACATACGTCCATAGATTTCTGGCCCAGGGAAACCCGTTNGATCTTCCGTACTTAAGCAGTTAATCGGCGGATTAGTAGTCAGGTGGGTGACCACTGGCGAATACCCGCTGTCGTATGTTTTTTTTATTTGCAGGGTGGTCCAGTTTTTTTGCTCAGGTTGAGGCTATCACGTGGCTGGCTTACTCTTGGCGTTATGTCGAGTTTGGGCATACATTAATAAACAGCCCCATCAAAGATACTTTCACATGCCATGCAGGCAGTACAAACGCTTCATCAATTTCATAAACAACAAAGTCACTTGGTACGATTGATGCGAAACGAGTGTGAGGATTTGACGCTTTGATTTACAAGGGACCGCTAGCATGCGTAGGTATCCTCGATTGCAAACCGGTCCTCACCCTGGACGACTAATCCAAAGGCTCTGAGATGCCATCTCTCCTCCCACATGCATGTACATGAAAGCTGAAAGACCATGCCGAACAAAAAAGGAAATAGAATCGAGGGAAAAGGGTGGTCCATGAGCGCTGAGATATCCGGAACTCCCGTTTTTGTTGACTTTTGTATTGACTCGAGTCGAAAGATCCCTCTTCTATCCTGCGGTCGAGCCGAGCGGCGCCAATGAGATCTACACCCTATGCCATGATAGTCGTCATCGTAACCCATCAATCCCCGCTGTCACTACAACGAGTCGCTTACTTCCTTCGGAAAGAGCAGCCCTCGGTCAACCGCGCCTTGCCACCAGTGGGCTGGCACCTGTGAATGCATTAGCCCTTGCCCTTCGCAATGTACCGAATTGTTTCCAAAAAACTTACAGGACCTGCGAGCAGCCCTGGCAGACGACGACTGTGTTGGCGTGCGAGAAGACGGTGGTGATGGTGAAGCATCCGGGGCACTTGACGTCCATGAAGAAGGAGCGGGGGGTGGGCACGAGGGTCTTGAGCTTGTGCTTGCGGGCCTCACTAGATCGGCTGTTAGTCGCTGGCCCAGGTCGACAAGGCGGAAATGTATGCGTACGCGGCCGGGGAGGGGTTGAGAAGGTCAACTGCGAGAACCTGGCGTATTGTTAGCCGGAATTCCTCATCTTTTTTGTTTCTGTGCAGCGCTGCGAGGCCAGAGGGTGTGAATTGCACGCATGTGGCAAACTCCTGGCAGTCTCGTGTGCCTGCCCACTACCTCCTCGCAGACGCTCCGCAGTGCTTTCGCAGGGTCAAACTCACCATATTGACGGTTTATGGAGAGTCTTGGACTGGTTGTTGATCGCCGGTGGCTTGAAGTCGATGGATTGGGCGCGAGAGTCGAGGACGCGGACGGCTTGTAGAGGAGGAGAGGGTGTGCAAAACCAATGTGGGCGGGCCTTGCCTGGTTAGCCGACGCGCTAACACTGGCGTCCGTGCACCAAACACTTTTCACCGGCGGCGAGTAACATAAGCTTCAATTGGCAGCGTGTGTACTCTACTTGTGAGCAGAACTGAAAATTGAACAGTTTTGCCTTTCGGCAATGCGCGAGAGGGGTGTATTTGCTCAGGCAGGGAAAGAGTGAGTCAATGCAGAGCGGCGTAGCCAGCCCGACTGTTTCATAAACATCCCAAGTATAATCACACGTAGGAATCTAATGGTTTGCGAGGAGAGTTACCTCCATGAGCCCCTCACGAGCTGTAGTATGGTACTCCTTGTCCTCGATGACGGAACTTCCCCGCGCCTAGGGGTGACAGATGTTGCGGGAACAACATGCAAGCGTCATTCACACTCGACCACTTGGCAGGTGCTGTCTGAAGCTACGCAGATGGGAAATTTATGGCGATAAAATGAAAGCGGTGGCAGAAGGCTGAGAAGGGGCCCGCATTGGCGCAGTCTGACACTGCAAGCCGTGCCAGTGCTCTCACGCATCAAAAGCCACAGTTTGTTACGTAGAAAAAACATGTGGCGGTTCAGTGGCATCGGGCCGACAAGGCCTTACTGGACGTCAGTGTACATGTACAATCGTGAGTGGCCAGAAGTCGTGCCGTGTGCAGCTGTGACACGTGAGGTTGCCTCCCACCTTACTTGCCAGCAACCGTGTAACCACCTAACGGATGCATACATTCTCTTGGCACCGAATAAATCACATGCCCACAGGAAAAACTTCGGAGGAAGCTGGCTGAACGCTAAAGTGCGAGATATTACCCCAACTGACCGGCCGGATCTATCCTCTACCCCACTTAGCGTGTCTTGAGTGCTTGTCGTAGGAGAACTCCGGGGAAGTTGTGGGCATGACCTTGTATAAGTAATAACGACTATTCAAGACTTGATGTACTGTTCAAGAGGCAATTTCGCAATCCAATCGACAAAGTGTACACTTCTAAGAAGGACTATTCAGAAACGCAAAAATGGCAGCACAAGAAAAGAACATGCAAGAGATAGAAAAGGCGAAGAAGCTTAACCATGTCCCATGGGGTGAAGAGTATGAGAAGATGATATCAGGGATGCTGTATGTATACTATATGTTCTCTCACTCTCCAGCCAACATGTTCACATTCCACGAACACACACAACGCATACATTACATTTCTCAGCACACACATTCCACCTCCAGCATCTCACCAAAAAATGTTTATACATATAAACAACTTTTCTACTCCCTTTTCTCAGACCAACAACCACAACAACAACACCAACCCAAGCTCATATCAACAAAAACAGCTACGACTCCTGGGGCCGCGATCTAACCGCAGCTCGCTACAAAGCCCGTGCCTTCGCCCACAAATACAACACATGGTTCCCCCCGCCCTCGACCGACCCCGCAACCGGCTTCGACGTCCTCGCCGCCGAGCGCGCAAAAATGCTCAAAGAAGTAATCGGCCATCTAGGCGACGATGTCTGTACGTTAACGTTTTTCCAGCTTAATAATATCCAAGCAAAAAAAAAAACCATATGGCTACTTTTTCTCTCTTGTAGCAACAAAAAAACCTGTTCAAGTTTTTTTTCTGACAAACAAAAATGGTCATAATAGTCATTGAACCACCTTTCAACATTGATTACGGATGCAACATCAGCATAGGCCCCCGCTTCTTCGCAAACTTCAACCTTACCATCCTGGACTGCTCGCTCGTTACCATTGGTGCGCGCTGCATGTTCGGTCCTAATGTGTCCATTTTCGCGGCTACGCACGAGACAGAAGTGCAGAGTCGGCGCGATAACATCGAGTACGGGCGACCGGTTGTGGTAGGGGATGACTGCTGGATTGGAGGCAACGTGGTGATTTTGCCGGGTGTGACAATAGGGAGGGGTGTGACGGTGGCGGCCATGAGCGTCGTGACGAAAGATGTGCCGGATTTTTCGGTGGTCATGGGACAGCCGGCAAAAGTAGTGAAGAAGGTTAAGGAGGTGGAGGGGCTGGAGGGGGACGTAATAGGTTCCTCGTAGTAGATAGGGGGGATAGGAAGCAACCTAGGACTAGCAAGGTTGCAGCATCGTTGCCAGCATAGTCCCATCAAGAACACGTGGAGAGCGCAAGCTATTTGATGTATCTCATCTAACATGACTATGCCTTCACTCTATACAAAAAAATCATGTTTTCAGCCTAGAAGCGACAGAGAGCTTTCGCCGTTGTCAAAGAGCGCGCGTATGTGCACACCATCTTCAGACGACACAAGACTAAACTAAGGAAAAAAGTAAAAAGAAAGAAGGCCGGCGCTGATGCAGCTAAGCTGGTAGCGAACATGTACAATAAAATAATAAGGGTGTTGAAAAACAGGGTAAAAAAGCAAGAGATCTAAGTCAAGCAGACTTCCTCTCCAGTGACAAATGGAAAAATTGCTGAGCAAGCGGCCGCCAGCTTGCACCAAGCTCATCTTTCTTTCTTATCCAAGTGGGCTTGAGCCAAGATCACGTCGTGTGCTAGTTGTCCAATAAGCACTGTATGGGAATGACGATGAGCTGTCAAGAAAGAGGTGGAAGATGCAATGGCAACAGATGGCGAAAGGGAAAAGTTTGGTGATGTGCGCCTTGATTGAACGAGAAGATGGGACGGGTGATGAGGCCAAGAGTTTGGAGTTCGGAATCTGTTCAGGCGTCCAACCGGGGTAATAGAGCAAAGGATATCAACTAGAGGATGGTGCAGCCTCCGCTCTTGTCTTTGCTGGTCTTGACCTGAAGCGCTACACGAGCGGCTTCGGTAAAAGCCTCGTTAACACCCCTGTTCTTCATAGCAGAGCATTCTGGATTCATGTTAGTTTACTTTGAAAGTTACGGGACGACGTTGAAATACCAAGATATCGCAAAGCCTTAATCTTTTCTGCCACGCGCAGACCCTCATCGTAGTCGATGCATGGCTTTTCGGGCTGCTGTTCATCGGCATCGTCATCCTCTTTCTTGCGTAGATCACACTTGAGCGCAACAAGGACAAGCTTGACACCCGGGCAGTTCTCTGCTATTTCGCCAACCCATTTTGTCTCCACGTTCTCAAGCGAATCTGGGGAGTCGACCTGGCACGTGTAAGCAAATGTCTGGAAAACACATGGCTGGATAGCCGTACCGAGAAGCAGAGCATAATTGCATGCGTATCGTCATAGCTGAGCGATCGTAGCCTGTCGAATTCTTCTTGTCCAGCGGTGTCCCACAAGCTGAGCTCGACGTGTGTGTTGTCAATGTAGATGTCTAGAAGACAGGGTCAATTCAGTTGGGCAGAAATGAGAGTATGGCGCACGAACCATGCACATAGTTTTCTACGATGATGGTTAGCAGATGTTGTGTGGGAGATGTGATGAGTGCTCTTACCGAATACCGTGGGCTCGCTGAGGCGGCGTGGTCAGCCTTGGGCGCCAACACCAAAAGCGCAAGGTACTTACTATACTGTTGGGAAATATCTAGGCAGGAATTAGCGAGGCACACATACAACAAGAGCACAATGGCATACGTACCCTCGTGTAAAAACGTTCAATAATGAGGTCTTGCCGCATGCGCCATCACCTCTGTCAAACGTGGGTTAGCCAAGTCCTGTCGCATCATGGACCCAGGGCCTGGACAAGCAGGCGTGCCGAGCTCAGGCAGACATACAAAAGTACCAGCTTGCGCTGCACCGATTTTGTTCCGCCGCACAAAGGCATGGTGGTAGTCGAGAAGGGGGGAGGAGGCCGCGATGGATTGGTTTTGTGGGCTCAGGGAGCAGCAGGGCGCGGCGCGCGCGCGTTATCGGAACGGAGGATGAAGGGCAAGAGTGGCCAGCTGGGGCGGCGAGGGTGGCGGCAAGAAGAGTATTTAGGCGTGGCAGACAGGGCTCTTAGCAGCGAGCGGCAGGGATGGTTGTGTCAAGTTGTGAGGGATCCAGATGCTGGTGTGTGGAGAGGCAAACGATGGGGCGGATGGAGCAGTGGAGTTGAAGATGCACCCTCGTAGCAAGGGTTAAACCTAAAAGGGTGATTAGCACTGGTCACACCCGCGCGACCACCTCACAGCCTCGATAGCAAGCGCTCGGGTGTCAAGGCGACCCATGAGGGAGTTAGCAGAGCCGTGAGCACACCAATCCTGGCGGGAGAAGAGCGGGAGAAGGGCGGGCATGGTGGCAGTGAGCAGGATCTGAGTGCAGAGGGGGTCGAATGATTGCGCTCGGATGACGGCCGAGGCGCTGAGGGCGAACCAAGGCGGGCGATATGGGTGCAGAGAGCGAGTGCGAGTGGCTGATAGGGCATCTGGGATACGAATGTCCGGGGAACTCCACGTGTGAGGCCGGTCCGAAAAAAGAAGGTCGAGGTACCAGATGCCGTACCAGACTCACGATGCTCGGCCCAATCCAGTGCCTACGCCAATCCCACCGCCCTTTGGGCCATGAACCAACTACCGTCTTGTCGACTCTCTCGCCGAGTCCCTGCATCCTGACGCGTCCAGAGCTGTGTGCGGGCACAGGACTGTTGGGGCTCAACAGTAGGGCTGCACCCAAGACATGTCACCATGCCCAAGCTCGAGTGCCGGCTGGGGGAGGCACTGGGTTTCTCGGTGCTGACTGTGCATGCACCAATCGAGTGGTGCCGATATAGTATATTACCTACTATGCGCCATGTAGTACACATGTCCGTATGTACGTGTACATGCGTATATTTCACTAGCAACTCGCTCCGAATCCGCAATGGCACGTGACCGTCCTCGCAGTCAAGTGCAGCTGGGATGGCGGCCTGGGGAGCTCAGCTTATTAGCCCCGCGCAAGTGGGGCGGCTCTACTAACGCGCAGGCACCACCACCACCATCATCACCGCCTCACGCAGACAAACAAGTCGCAGTTAGCCCTGCTGAGCCACATATCAACAAACATCCCAGCGGAGCAATTCGGGCCCAGTATCTCATATCTCGGCCAACCCCCCAGTCCTAACTGCATTGTACATTGCACATCTCTAACCCGCAAACATGTCGGACGATGACGACTTCATGCAAGACTCCGGCGAGGAGGAGTAAGTTGCGCTTGTTTGTACACTGGCTCCACATCTGACCAATCCCTGAGGTACGACTTTGAATACGAGGATGACGACGACGAGGAGAGTGGCGACGTCGACATCGAAAACAAGTACTACAATGCAAAGCAGCTCAAGGCCGACGACCCCGAGGCGGCCATAGACGAATTCCTGGGCATGCCTGCACTGGAGCAGGAAAAGTCGGAATGGTACGCGACACTCACATCTGGCGGCATAGATACGAGCTGACGGAGATAAAGGGGCTTCAAAGGGCTGAAGCAGGCCATCAAGCTCGAGTTCAAGCTGGCGCGCTATGACAAGGCACGTACATGCCCCCACGACAACGAGAGCGCCACAGCTAACAGCCAGACAGGCAGTCGAACACTACAAGGAGCTGCTCACCTACGTCAAGTCTGCTGTGACGCGCAACTACTCAGAGAAGTCAATAAACAACATGCTCGACTTTATAGAGAAAGCCGCTGAAGACGCCGACGCCTATCGCTGCATGGAGAACTTCTACGCCCTGACCTTAGACATCTTCCAGAGCACCAACAATGAGCGGCTGTGGCTCAAGACCAACATCAAGCTCGCCCGGCTATGGTTGGACAGGAAGGACTATCGTCAGCTTACCGAGAAGCTCCGTGAGCTACACAAAGCCTGCCAGCGAGAAGACGGCACAGACGACCCAAGCAAAGGCACATACTCATTGGAGGTCTATTCGCTTGAGATTCTTATGTATGCTGAGACCAGGAACAACAAGCGACTAAAGGTCAGTCGTCCCAAATGCGATTCCATGTGCATGCCCTCTAACTCTTGGAAAGGCTCTCTACCAGCGAGCACTCAAGGTCAAGTCAGCCGTTCCACATCCCAAGATTATGGGCATCATCCGCGAATGCGGTGGCAAGATGCACATGAGCGAAGGCAAGCACCACCCACATGCATGCCACACAAGTCAGGCAGCCGGCGCTAACTCTCAACAGAGAACTGGAAGGGGGCACAGAGTGATTTCTTCGAGAGTTTCAAGAACTACGACGAGGCTGGCTCGCTTCAACGCATCCAGGTCCTAAAGTACCTGGTTCTTGCCACCATGCTCTCGGGTTCGGATATCAATCCGTTTGACTCGCAGGAGACCAAGCCGTATCAGAATGATCCACGCATCTCCACCATGACTGACTTGGTCAATGCTTATCAGCTGGAGGACATTCACGGATACGAGAAGATTCTGCAAAACAACCGTGACTTGCTCCAGGATCCCTTTATTGCCGAGAACATTGATGAAGTGACGCGCAATGTGCGCACCAAGGCGATTGTGAAGCTGGTTGCCCCCTATACGCGGTTTACCCTAGCGTTTATCTCGAAACAGCTCAAGATTTCTCTGTCAGAAGTGCAGGAGATTGTAGGGTTCCTGATTGTTGACAAGCGGTTACGCGGCAAGATCAACCAGCAGAACGGAACCGTAGAGATTGAGAGTAGCACAGACATGGATCGGGTGCAGGCGATCAAGGAATGGAGCAGCGCCATTGGAGTGCTGTGGCAGACGGTGCTGAACGAGGGCGAGGGCTTCAAGTCTGACGAGAGTGGGTCTCAGTTCACTCCTGGCGGGGCTCCAGGTATGGGGTGGAACCAGAGCTCCATGGGAGCCAAGTCAGGGCGACCAAAGGGCAAGGGCCCAGGACGCCAGGCAGGCCTTGTGAGCAAAGGATGACCTGCATTATCGGCCGTAGGCTTCACAAGACGACCCGCAACTGGGTTTCCGGGACACGGGGGGCGTCCAGAGGGTTGTACATTACCGTGAGGGGGGCGTTCCTCACCTGAAGAAGACTTGAGACATGGGACGAGGATGCTCGGAGGAGCAGGCGAGGGTTGGCCCACGGGGTAGCACGGGACTAGAGCGTTCGTCCACCAGCAGCAGCAGAGGCGTTTCAACATGGTCAGTCGGACGGCGGAGAAGGTCGGTCAGGCTTGGTCACGCAACTGCCACAGCGGGTACTAGTTAATTAGCCATGGGTCAGCAGCGCCGGTCCACTTTGTGCGTAGTGAGGGTGATGCATGACGGCCTCGTTTTGTCAATGCAACATTCCAGCGACCTGGTTGCGTGGCCGAGGGCGGCATCCTCCAGAGACGGGTGCGCCGTGGAGAGTGGGTTGTGCGTGACGCAGTACACGGAAGCTTGATTGAGTGCGCGTACGAATGAGAGCAAAGGGAGTTCCCAACGCCAACGGCGCTACGCCCCGGGGAAGCGGGCACGGGACGAGGGTAGCTGGTATCAAGCGAGCCCACGCCTTTCCTGACTCGCACCTGGCGTGGGATCGGTAACCTGTCTAGGCTATCTCTCGGGTGTGCGGGAACTCTTATTCTTATTTTTATTTTTTCCTGTCGCATCAGCGCCATGGAGGTGCACAGCGAATCATGGAATTCCACCCCCGGCCGCCTGTGTGCGAGGGCTTGTCTTGCTCTCGACGCCATGGGCTGCCTCGGCGATGCTGTGCTTGGAGACGATTGTTGCCGCCGTCACACGGCATCGGCTGCCGCATCTGCTGGTGCTGGTGCTGGTGCTGGTGCTGGTGCTGGTGCTGCTGGTGCTGCTGCTGCTGCAATCCATTGCTGCTGATCCGTTTGCACCCTCGCTCGCCCCCGGCCAGCTACACACCGGCAGTAACTGGCTCCATATGCTCCGGTTGGCCGCTGTGGGAGCGTTGGCTGAGCCGCCCCCCGGCTCTTTGCTCGGCCATGGCCTTGACAGAGTCGTGGAAGAGGCCAGAAAGAGAGAGTCAGACTGCACTTCAATTTCCAGACTCCGGTTCCATCAGGACTAGTTGGGCAAAGTGATGGGATAATCACACGCCCAGTCCTGTTGCGCATACAGTGCCGCTTTGCCCTGGCCGACGTGCCATGGGTCATGGTCTTGCCCCCTCCCGCCCACACCCCCCTCTCGTTAACAGTTGCTTTTGTTTGATGTATCTAGGCGCTGATTGTGTATGCCTGTGTCTGTGTGCATGGCCTTGCTCTTGTACGCCGTCACGCCCGTTTCTTCCTCTTCTCTTGTGCACAATCTCGCACACACACACACACACACTCTCTCTCTCACTCACACACACATACTTACATACATACATACACATATATATACACACACACCCTGACTTGGCATCCCGGTCCCCCCGGTGCAACAAGAACAAAGCATTGCAGAGCGACTGGACCAAACGTGTTGCAAACTTGTCTTGGTGCCTGGCAGGTCAGATTCCACTCGCACGCCGCAAACATCTGTCCTGTTTCTCCGATATATTGGCGCTGTGCCCCTGGGCGTCGGTGGGTATCACAGCAACGACACAGCTTCCAGCCCGGCGCCGCGCGCCTCTGCGCCTACTAAAGGCGCTGCTGCCCTCGCACCAGTAGCTCGCGGGCGAATTAGTGCTGAGATCGATGCGCATTACCGACGCTGCTGTGGAATCCTTTGGTCCAATTGCCAGCCATCGAGGCCAGTCACGCCCACCGCCCACCAAGCAACGCAGGTCAGGACAAATCGCGGGCGGAGATTGAGAGCATTGCAGCTCCCATCCCACTCCCTCACCCACACAAACACACAGACTTACCACCGAGTTATAGTCGCCATGAACAGGCAGCCGGTGTTGACGGACTTTCACCCTCATGGGCACCATCACCCGCATGCCCATGTGCACCAAGGCCACTATGGAGTGCCGGCACAGAGCCACTACCAAAGCGGATTGGCGTTCGCTATCCGCGCCCCGGTCCTTCCCTCCGGGAGCTATAATCATTACCACACTGGCCACCACCCAGGCCGCCAACATCAACATCAACACCGCGACCCCCACCTCAACATGGCTGCGTATCCCTCGGACGAAGAGTATGCCCAGCTGCAGAAGCTGTCGAGCGAGTACGAGCCCGAGGCTACTGTGAGTGAGCGTGCGCCTGTGATTTTGGAAAGCGCGCTGACCGCCCAAGGGCCCACTTGTGGGCGAGCGCCAAAGCAGCGCTGCTATCACGACGCAGTATGCCACTGCAGATCCGGTTTACCAAGTCAAGACGGCTGCCCTGCCCGCCAAATACGCCTACTTCCGCACCTGCCGTGGCGATGGCCATTGTGGATGGCGGGGTAAGTTTGCATGGCGCCTGTGCCTGCTCAACCCTCTCTCTGTTGCTGCTGCTGGTGCTAACGCAAACAGCAATCGCCTTCACCTACTTTGAGGCTCTGTTGAGCGTGGGCGATGTCAACAAATTTGCCGAAGAAGAGGCCCGTCTGAATTCACTCGGCAACCTGCTCGATCACATTGGCTATTCGCGTGACATTTGGATCGACTTTGCTGAGGAGGCATTTGAGCTCCTCCACAAGCTGGCCAACTCGCTGCGCAACATGGATGGCCAGGCCTCCGACATCCTGCTCCGCACCTTCAACGACATGGGCGAGTCCATGGCAATCATCACCTATGTCAAGGTTGGCTTTGTGCATCTCCTTTTTTTTCCTTGACACTACTGACCATGCCCGTTAGCTCCTGGCCAGCGCCTGGGTGCAGACGCATGCCGATGACTTTGTCCATTTCATTGACAACGGGGATGTCCGAGGATACTGTGCCAACAACATCGAGCCCACACAGTGTGAAGCCGACAATGTCGGCATTGCCGCTCTCGCCGAAGCCCTAGTCAAGCCGGCAGGTTTCGGCATCGAGGTGTGGTATCTGGACCGCTCGCCCGGAGAAGAGATCAACCGTAGCTTCTATTCGGAGCCGACAGACGCACACCATCGTCCAATCTCCGGTGCTCCCATGTTGAGGCTGCTCTACAGGCCGTGAGTCTACCATCTCAGCGCTGACTTTCCTCCTTTGGCACTTTCTGACTTCGCTTAGCGGCCACTACGATATCCTGTACAAAGCTGGGGACGTGCCTCAGGCCCAGCATCCGCCCGTGCCCCAGCAGCAACCACTCCAGGTTGCCCTGGCTAACTACACCGACGAATTCATACCGACCGCAACAAACGTCGGCGATGTCATGAACATGATCCCGGGAGTATACCCCTCTGGTCTCGGCATAGGTCAGCGGTGGACTTCATTGTCATACGACTTCAGTCCTAGCCCCGCTTCTCACTCGCAGATTACACCTGTGCAACCCTATGCTCCAACAACAGCGCCGATGTCTCCGGTCAGCTCCTCACATTTGGACTTTGTTGCACCGATCCACACCAGTAATGCGAGTCAGTACAACCCAGCGAGCCATCACAACATCAATCTCGAACAACCTCCTGTGACACTCCCCATACATCCTCCCCCACCTCCTGTCAGTATCGATAGAGCAGCCCCTGTAGGTGTTGAACGAGGTGGCCCTTTCAGGCCATCCATGTATGAACTGGAACCTGGGTTCGGATCTTCAATGCAGGTGCAGCCGTTCCAGACATCCATCTTTCGCAAGTAAGCACTATCCCCTGTTGATGCCCTAGTATCCAGCTTACACTTTCAAGTTCTCACTTCAACACCGCGCACTTTATGAATCCGGACTTTGAACCCGAACAATGGTGTCCCGACGGCGAGTACGCTACAGGTAACAAAGGCCGACACAAATCCCATTCTTCGTAAGCGCCTTGCTTTACATGCTTTCGGTTCATTTGCGGTCCTTTTCACGGCTTTTCTCCAACATCTTAGTAACACCTTCCGTACAGCCAATATCATCATCTACGCGGCCTTCCACCATTGACGACGAACAACGGCCAATAAATTTCTTACTCCCGTTCGGGACATCAACTAGCTACCTCTACACATGGAAAAGCGAAGGCACTTTGAGTGCCTATTCTCGGGCTTGTTTGGACATGCATCTGCTTTTACTCTAGCATCCATCCATTATCCATTGTTCTTCCAGCGAGGGCGGAGTACTGTACTTTGACTTCTTCCCTACACACCAACCCCGCAAGGATTCACGACCGTGATGAACATCAAAGACTATCTACCTCAGGGTGATCGACCTTAGAGTTGAGCATCTTTATCATGGCCCTTGTTTGTTCCCTTCCCCGTAGTATTATTAGCCAACTGTCAACGTTTCTGGCACACTTTAATCAAACAGACACTTTCTTTCAGTGTAACACAACACTATTTGGTATAGGCGGGTTTTCTGTCGCTGCACTGGAAAATGCCTCGTCATCACTATGAAGTCTTTGGGCACACGATACGTGTAATGTCTGGGGCAGTCCTAGAACAGACGCGATCGACAACAAGGATTGAGGTTCCAGATTCCGCTCAGAATGTATCAATGACCGAGGGCTTATTCTCATATGTCGTCAAGGACAGCTGAGTGGACAGGCCGTGCAGAAGACTAGAATGAACAGCCAGAAAAAAAAAAGATCAACAACATTCAAAAAAGAACTAACTTTGAGTGCCCAAAGATGATGTGATGTGCGCATGTTATGACGCGGCCTTTTGATTAGGCGATACTAAAAGAATGATGGTAATTACCAGCCCGTAATCAGGATGGTAGATAATGCACAGCACGCTAGCTCATTTTTTCTTTTGGGCAACATGTTGAGCGAAAATCGAGGGGAAATGAGGGGAAGGGGGGACAGACGGGAAGCCGAGCTGCAGGCACGGAGTTAGCGGCAACGCATAAGTCCTGCGAAAAAAAAGGATAGATAGAGAACACCTCACAATAACAGAATGTTTGTAATTCGATTATGGATTTTTTATTAAAGTTCTGTCTTTCGTGTTATTATTCGTAGTTTCCCCCCCTTTTTTTTTCTAAAACTTAAGATAAACATTAATCGAAGCATATTAATGACATGGAAAGGGTAGGGTTATTCGTTGTGTGTAAACTCTAGGGAACGCTAGTTATAATTCCATTGCAATATTGCGAATTTCTCAAGCACAGAATTGTGGAGACCAGGGAGGAGTTTTAGTTGTTGGTTGCTAAACTTGTAAAAAAAATGTAGGCTGTTCTTGTTGTTGTTGTTGTTGTTTGTTTGACGTCCCGGTGGTTATACAAGAAAATGGGGACCTTACTACGCTTAATATCGACAGGCAAGACAGGCAACATACACACACCCCCTTACAGATGATCAGACATGAACACAGAGATAGGGAGAGATAGGACGGAGGGAGAAGATAAGCAAATCGGCTAAGACCGTTTATTTGGTTTGCCGGTTTTATTTAAACAAAACACTTTTTTTTTCCTTTCCGTGTTTTACTCCTCCCCTCTCTTCCCCGCATCGGTAACTTCCTTTTTTTTTGCTATCCTCCACGCCACGGAGTGAAAAAAAAAATAAGCAATCGTCATGAAAAATAAGCTTCAAAAAGAACAAGTTTAGCAAATCAAAAAAAAAGAGTGGCAAAAAATTGTTAACGCTGTATGCCAGACGCGAACGCATAAAAAAACCAAGGTTTTTGTTGTTGTTTTTTTTTTTGGCTTGCCAGCTTTTGCCAATGTATAGGATTGCTGACACAACCCTGTTTGTTGCATGTAGGTACACCTGGAACGGCTGTTCGCAGGTCATACCACGTCAGGGGTTGTTTTACATGGAACATCCCCGGGTAAAAGGTCAGAGAGAAGAAGCTAGTAGCCTTAACAGTAAGCAAGGGCGTTTTTTTTGCTTTTGGCTTTCCCTTTCTCTGCCTCTTTGTCCTGTTTCTTACCTTATGCTTTTGGTGCGTTCGTGTTGCCATGGGACAAGAAAGTTTACGGAGTTCATCGGAGGCCATATCATATAAAAAAGCCAATAGCTTCGGCATTACTATAATATTAACGGGGCTTTTTTGTAAAAAGACAGGGGGCGGGCATATACGAGAAGGCGACGCCGATCGGGCACAATAGGAAGGGCTCCGCATTCAGGTCCATTTGCTTCGCCTGCCCCCACTATGGGATTGAACTTAGTTTTCCGCATGGTTTTCCACCGGCTTCTCGGGTCACAAACTGCTAGTCATTGTATCCTGATGCAGTTGCCTAGTATACATTGGGACTGTATTTTACAACAGTGAGGCAAAAGATTGTGTACATAGGTGTATCTTTTCCTTCTCTTGCAGTATCTACTCCGATCACAAGCAACGATATCCCGGTATGAAAGCCTGGAGGTCCCCACCACGCATGGTCGCTGTAGTACCACAGCGACAGAGGTCAAGCATATGATGCGTAATCGATCAAAAGTGGACTGAGCCGCCTCACTGTCTTCCGTGAGAGCACCTGACTATGATCCGAGCGCAGAACCCAAGGCACAGCATTGTGTTTGCGTTGTGCTTGCGTTGTGTAACCAATTTCGTCAATGGTTACACAATGACAAGATTCAACCGCCCAGGATGGCTCCACTCTGTGGGCGTCGTGGCTAGGAGGGCTTACAATCAATGGCTAATGTTCTAGAATAGGCGTTCTTGGGGCTTCTCGCAACACAGCAGCAGTTGTCGTCCATGTGTGCAAGCTGGAAAAGGTGGCGTGGGTGTTGGTAGTGAGCGTCTATTACGCATCATCTTAACCTGCTGTGACATGCGGACTGGGCGTAGAAGTCTCACAAGCTCACACTCGAATCCAAGTATTCAGAAGCCAAGGACACACCTGCAAGCATATGCGTCATTTCTTCTCCCCTGTAACGCATGGGAAAAAGCTTGAGCCTCGAGTATTGCCAACGCTCAAGGCTTTTCGTCTGCCCGGGCATCACTTAGCCCCGAGTCAGAAGTGGCGTCGGTGCCCTCGTTCATTTCCAAATCTGCGGTATCAAGGCTGTGCTTTGCGCCATTGGTCATCTTCTTTGCTCGTATCTTGGCACGTTCTGCCCGCTTCTTTTCTTGGGCCATGAAGTAGTCATTCTCCTCACGCAGCTCCGAAAGCTGCGAAAAGGTTACTTTCTGGATGCGCTGGAGTCTTGCAAGCTGTTTCTTGAGTTCTCTGACTTCGGCTTGCTGGGCGTTGCCTGTAGTTTCGGAAGCACCTGCATCATCTGTGTCCAGGGCCATGAAGTCGGCCGCCGGAGCGACACTGGCCCTGGCCTGGATGCCCCAAGAATTCAGCTCGGCCAGGCTCTCCTCAAGCATACTAGCAGGGAAGCTAGGATGGGTGAGGGCCTCTTCAAACTCGCTTTTTCCTGGACGTCCTTGCTCACTGGCAGACAAGTGAGGGCTGCGTAGCCGACCCGTCAGCTGCATGCTCAAAGTATAATGTGGTGGCACTAAGCCATTCCCGCTACTTGCAAGTCCAGCGTCTTGTTTTGGTTTGACAATGGTCCGAATGGTGAATGTTGGTTCATGTGCGTTGGGAAAGCCTGTGGGGGCGAGGAACTGTAAATTTGAGACAGGCCCTGGAAGATTGGCTGGAGTTGAAAGATAGTTTGACTTGGCGACGTCCCAAGAAGCAATCTTGCCACTTGCGTGACCAGAGATGAGCGTTGTACCATCCCAACTCAAACTCAGGCTGAGGGCTCCACCGAGCTTCTGTGAATCAGCACTGAAACGCGTCTTGGACGAGGGCTGGATAGGGCGGTGAGACAAAGCACTGTCATGGAGGACATTTACCGAGGTAGTCTTTTGCACCTCGTCGTAGAAATCAATTGTCTGCAAACTACCGTCGGAGTAGGCAACAAAGAATGCGCGATCGGCAGGATCAAGAGTGACGGCAGTCGGTGTCTCCGGTAACAAGTATGTACGCAGTGCCTGTCCATTTTGATAGTCCCATACAATAGCAGACTTGTCACCCGATATGGATATGGCAATGTTGGCGCTGCTTGAACTGTGCCCGCAGACAATAGAAGAGATGGGACCGCGGTGTGTAGAGAGGGTATGTACGGGAGAGCGCGAGGCATCAGGCGAGAAGGAGAGTATTGAGGGCAGGGCCCATACGTGAATCATAGCATCTGAGGAGCCAGAGAGAAAGAAGTTGGAGGACGGATCAACGACAATGCACGTCACTGGCTGGAGATGCGAAGTAGATGTAGAGACGAGGCGGCCTGAGCTGATCTAGAGAAGATATTAGAACCATGCATAACGATGGCATCTATGACGGTATCGCGACTAACCTCCCAAGCCAGCACTCGCCCACTTTCTGTCCCAGCCAACAGCACGCTATCATGTGCTGCCAGCGCGATGCTATGGATTCTCTCTGGAAAGGGCACAAGGGCCTCCTGGTTGCCTTTTTCCCTATTGTATACATGCACGACTGCCTTTTCCGATTGCGCAGCGAAAACGTACGTGGCGCTCACAGCAATGCCATTGGGCGCAGTCGCGCTCTTCTTCAAGACCTGTCGTTGAGCAGCCAGCGGCTGGAACTCGTGAACAAAAATACCCGCATCTTTGAGGATTCCAGTATTTGGCTTGGTCGAAGCCGATATAGCGGCCACAAATTGTTCTGTGAGCATGGCCGGGAGCGGGGAACGAAGACAGACAATGGTGGTTAAGTTTAAAAGTTAGAGCTCTAGAAATTTTGGTGGAGCATCTCAATCGTCAGGGGTCCGTGCGACTAGGCACAGTACCCACGTCCGGGGATAGCCTCTGTCTAAACGCCGCTCATCACGTGTTCCTACACCACACCACCAAGGAACTGTGGCGACACACCACCAGGCCCAGTTCTGCCTGTTTACTCACTGAACCGCCCTGCGACTTAATTCTGACCAAACAGTGGGCTAGACTCAGCCGCTTGCCAAGCTGCTCTGCTTGCCGACAACGAACTGTACCCCACTCTTCGAGGGTTGCCTGAGTGGGGTTGCGCGACTGCCCCTGTCTGAAAGAGCAAATGATAGTATTCCATCTTTAAGCAATCTTGCATTGCATATCCTCATCTACCGAGGTTTACAAAGAAAAAAAATAAGCTTGCATGTGTGTTGCGAGGCACGAGCGATGAGGACAATCATACAATGCCAGAGGATACCTTTACCTTGGTGACCAACTCATCCTTTGCGAAAAGTCAGCCAGGAAAGTTACCCCGCACTACGCTCATGAAAGCATGTGTACTACTTCTGCACCGTCACTGGCGTAAATCAGGGTCTTGGTGCTGACTGTACCGATAACTATCTATTGCCCTGAACACCACCTCATGCAATAAGTAGCTGGGGCTGACTTACCAGCCTAGGGACTAATCGGGAGTAGTCACATGAGAAAACAGTCTGTTATTGGTACTCGTAGCTTGGATACCAAAGAGGAGAAACTTAGGCCCAGCAAGAGCGGGGCTGAGTACCACTTTAAGAATCCTACAATGCATTTTTGGGCAACTCGCAGACCGATCCTTATAAAGTCATGGAGGGGCACCCAAATTGAGCTCTTAGATTTGAAATTTAGACACTCGAATTATCCTCTTCTCCCCTTCCAAAGCCCTAAGATCTGGTCATCATGTCCAACGAGGGTGTCACAAGCGCAACACCT